TTGGATTCATAATTCTCATAAATGCGAGACATAGTTGCAGGATCCATGTGCCATCTATAAAACATCTTATAAAAATTCTCACGTAGATTTTGTGCTTGCGTAAATTTCACATTTCTCACCCATATCAACTCCCAGGTATCCATAGATATTATTTCTCCTATATTTTGAGCCCATTTAATCATACAATCTTTAACTAGCTAAATTTCATTTTTGATGTGTGCCGTTGTGCCCACAATAAAAAAATGACAATAAAGGTTATCTTATCTTATACTATATTTTTCCCAAATTAAAAGTAATATTTAGAATCATGTACAATCAAATGTAGCCACTCTTGAAGCACATTCATGGAAATCAACAACTGTCCTGGAGAAACCTCTGATGATATAGGACTCGCTCTTTCCACTGATGCCTAAGACGATAGGCCTCCACAGCCAACCACAATAAAAGAAAAATGACATACATGGAAACATTTGATTCAAGCATATAATCCATGGTGTTTGCATCATGAGGTATTTTTCATCATTTCCTGCAGTCCCCCAGGAGCATATGCCTGAAGTACTGTTTTCCTATGCAGCAAGAGTATTGAATGCACAAACTTGGAAAAGCAACGACACACTTCCAGTGGAAGATTGGATTTTAAAGTTAACGGAATTTGCAGAAATGTTTAAAGCTGGCCAGTTTGGTCAGGAAAACAAAAATAGGAGAAAGACGTTTTTGAAAGACTAGAAACTTTATGTGGACTTTCTGTTGAAAGTAAAAAGATTGAAAAGATTAAAAAGGGACAAAGAAGACGGGTAAAATATTAGGATCATTATTCAATAGAAAGACAGGCAGAAGGCATAATTATATGTTTTATTCACTTCCTTCCTTTTCCCCACTTCCTATCTTTTGTTTGTATTCTTACTATATTAGAAATGCATATAATTCATTTATATCCTGCCTTTGTTATTTTTACAAATAACTCAAGGCGGTGAAGACATCCAGCATACTTTCCTCCTCCAATTTTCCTCACAACAGCAACCCAGTGAGGTGGGTTGAGCTGAGAGAAAGAAACTGGCCCAGCTGGTTTTCATGGCTATGGCAGAATTAGAATTCAGTCTCCCACTCTCTAGCCTGGTGCCTTAACCATTAAACAAAACTGGATCTCTCTATATGTTTGTTTGTATATATGTGTGTATGTATGTGTGTGGGGGGGGAGGAGTTTCACTGAAATCCAAAACATCAACTTTCTGTTGACAAAGAGGTAATCCACTTACAACCATTTAGCGACTGTTGTCAAAATCAAACACATTTACAGAAAATACCTTCTTCCAATGCTTTTGCAATTCTTTTCAATTCCTCCTGTTTTGCTCGTTCCTCTGCTTCTATTCTCCTATCCTCTGCAGCGATAGGCTTCAAATAAGCTATTGTAAAGTAAAACAATATGTATTCAGAGGAAAGAGAAATGCATTATGATTTATTGTTTCACAGTTCCGTACTTTCAATTCATTAAAAGCAGGTGGAGTTTCACGATACAAAATATTTAACATAGGCCTCTGGAATAATTTTAGCTTCACAGTGGATCAGGCTTGTTCTCCACTTTTAACATTGCTAATATTTAATTAATTAAGATGCAATTTCACAAAATATAGAAAAAAGGTAAATATAGACAGTATACTATTTCATACTTTATATATTTTTACTTATTAATAAGCTCTGAACTTCTACATTCAGAATGGCTCTTTAACAAGTTTTTTAATGCTCTTAATTGATTTATTAAATTTATATGCTGTCCATTTTACTGATACTGATTTTTTTAAAATGCTTTATAAAACTGAATACGCTCATAATGTTCATGCATCAATAAATATATGCATCAAATTGTAATTCTGGAAGTATAAATGCCAACTCCAATCAGGAGCAATAAAAAAATAAGTTGATATCATATCAATATACAACAAGCAATCTTGTGCACTTATTTTTTTCACATGAAGTCATCTAAGACTTCTCAGAAGATGCTTGTGAATAACTGTTAAGAAGCCAGATGAAACATCTGGATGTAAATGCATCTATTGCAAAAATATTACAGTACTGTTTAATTGCATTACTGATGTATTTTTCAAAACCAAACATCAGCTTTTCACAATGCAAACATAACCAAAAAGGTTATTTTTGTTAACCACTTACCATATCTTCTTGCTCCATAAATGATTCCCAACAGCAGTGCGGAGTATCTGCAGAACTTTAAATAAATTACAGAAATGTAAACCATAAAGAATGTTATACTTAATTCACAAAAAGACTGAATTGAAATATTCCAATGCAATGCAATACACACACACACACACACACACACACACACAAATTATACCATTCTGTATACCCACTATTGTTATAAAATGGTATACACATTATACCATTTGTTTAGCAACCATTCAATGTTACAACAGCACTGAGAAAAATGTCTTTCGAATCATCATAGCTTCCCCATGGTCATGTGATCAAAATTCAGATGCTTTGCAACCAGCATGTATTTATCATGGCTGCAGTGTCCTGGAGTTGGTTACATGGCCACCATTTGCTGGCTGGATCACAGCTGGCTTCCAACAAGCAAAGTCAATGGGGGAAGCCAGATTTGTTTAACAATGGCAGTGATTCAGTTAAATCAGGGGTGGACAATTAACTTCCCCACATAGCCACACAAGGAACTGGGACTGTTATGGAAGGCCGAACCAATAGGCTGTGAAAGTGTGTAGGCATGCACACAGGCCATATGTAAATAGGTAAAAAAAGCATTCACCTTCAAAATAAAAGTCATACAGTCGTATTGAATGTATAGGGTGCACTTATTTACATTTTATTTCTAATTTCTGACTGACGTCATGCGGGTTGGACAGGGACAACCAAAGAGCTGGATGTGGCCTGAGGGCTGTAAAATGCCTAGGTCTGACTTATGACTCACTTAACAACACCTTGCTTAGCAACAGAAATTTTGATCCCAACTTTGGTCTTAAGTCAAGGACTACCTATACAATTTTGTATATTATACTTGCTTTTTAGTAGCATAAAAACAGTAACCAGAATACAAAACACAGAATACAAAAATAGCAATAATTATACTTGTTTGAACATTTTGACCAGGTTTCCAAAGGTTTCCCAGATATTTTTATATTGTAATGGTATGTTGGAAGGTCCTTACAAGACAAAGGGGAGTTGCAGATTGTAGAACCATCATGTAAACAATATCTCAGCCCACAAAAGCAGAAAGGACCAGGAAAGCATTCCAGAATAAAGCAGGGGAGAAATATTTTCAGACTTATAAAATTCCGTTAATGTAATGACTACTGCTTTTAATGTAATATTACAACAAAGATAGAGCTAGTACTCAGAGTTCTTCTTGTCTGGACTACCTGGCAGGACTAACACATATATCCTTTGGCAAAGCCAAAATGGCTTTGAAACAGCATTCAAGACAGACTCTCCATGATGGGTGTATTTAGCTATCATTATTACATTTCACAAGAACTTTTCTGATACAACTAGCTTGTAGATAAAAAGTCTCTTTAATTCTTTGGGCATCTCTGTTAAATACTCAGAAGAGTCTGAATAAGACACCACTTATAAATGCTTTTTATGTATTGTAAATGGCCTGTGATTAATAAATGTGTGTATGTTTGTATATATATTGCATATGTATGTATATGTGTGTGTGTATATATGTATATGTGTATGTGTATGTATGTATGTGTATGTATGTGTGTATACACACACAAACACACACAGTGGTGGCCAAAATTATGGAAACCTTTTGGGAAAAGTGTATTTTTGAGGTTTGATGGCTAATAACACCACTTTATTTTGGAGTAGTACCATAAAATTATATATCAAAGGAAAGATAATTTAATCAAGAATGTAATGGGATGACTTCCGGTGGCAGGCTCCTTCGCTGGACGCAGCTGCTTGCTGCTCCCGCCTGTTTCCGCGTAAAAGCCGGTTTGACAGCCTGCATCAGCTGTCAAACGGCTTGATACCTTTCCCCTGGGCATAGGGGGAAAGGTGAGCTGCCCGAGGTAGGAGTTGAGTTCCCGAGTCGTCCCTTGTGGACGATGTAGGTGAGAACTCCTCCGGAGCCTCGGGATTCTCCGCGATCCAGGACGTC